GATATGTATGTAAGCACATTATTAAGAAGAGAAGACAATAAAAGAAAGTAAGAAGACTTAACATATCTGTTGAGGGGTTCTCCCCTTTTTATACAAATGGACTCACCCAGTCTATACATATACTACGGCTACATGAAGACCCGACAGCAAGACCAGTCAAGTCGAGTCCAGAGTGACAGAGTAAAAGGTTGTAGGTAACCGGAAGAGTGAGGGGTGAGGTAACAGCGTTGTAGGAGTCACAGTGAGCGAGCACGTAGACTCAGTAAGAAGTCATACAGCGATACTTCAATACCAAAGACTGTATATATCTTTTGCTACTAACCCGTATTCCTGGAACTACTAACCTGCTTTACCAGTTTGTATTATTATGTTAATACATTATTTTCATATATTCATTCCTGGCGTTTGTTATTTATTGGTACCGGATTTCAACCCGGAATCCACAACAATATCGAATGACATTGCATTTAATTTTTTGAAGATGAAAATTGTAAAGCGTGCAGAAGAGACTTATACAAGCAAGAATTGCGAGAAACAAAAATGTTGGCATTATATTTAGTCATCTCAAATGTAGAAAAATGAAAACTTGCATTCAATCTCGTACTGCGCTTAAATTCATAAAGTGTAGATATCAAAGAGGAAAGTGATATTTATTTCGTTTTACACAAAAATGTAACAGAAGGCCAAAAGTGGCGAGACCAATCACTGACACAAACATACCACCGTCTTGCTTACACCAAAACAATATTTTCTTACCATTCTTACTACAGTCTCCATAATACCTCAGAGTCTCTATGAAGTTCTACCTAGTCCCTCAATGTACAATTTGTTTGTCGATGGATATAAATTTAATAATACTTTAAAAATGTAACCCCAGTATCATAGATATTCATTAGAACAATTGCCATTAAAATATTTATCGAGGATAAGTTACGGCGTTGGGAAAGTGGCTACTGTCGAGATATCAGGTCAGGACCAATAACCTTGCAGATTCTCCTTTGGATTTTATCAAGAATCTCTAGATGTATAGCAGAAGCACCTTATTAAATGACGCAGTAATATTCAATGCATGGACAAAAAATCGACTTATAAATGTGTAAGATTGTGTCTAGCAGGAGAAAAATTGTCTAATATAAATTATACTTATATCGTAATTATATTATGACGTATATAAATACTGGAAATAAATGGATCTTATAAAATTAATCTTTAAAGATAAATTTGTTCCTATTTGTTCTTGATATTCGTTGTTTAACATTATATTTAAATTCACATAAGTCTGCTACATCATTTGATAGCACAGATTGATTGACTGATTTCGTTAACGGCATATCAACTCCTTATGGTTCATTTAATGCAAAGAAATTAATTTTAATGGGAGATTTGAAGTGATAAAAAGATGATATATGTCATTCTTCTTTCAAAAATTGAATACATGGTATATGATACTCAGCTTTTGCTACATATACATGTTTGTGTGAACACGATTACTGGAAGCGGTGATATTCGTGTTTTATATTGTAGTTGTGTTGAAGTTATATTTTGGAATACAGTTTGATTTCTTCTTCATTTTAATTATCTCCCCTTTCTTTATAATTCGATTTGATTTTTTTTCAATCGAATTCACCCTACGCAAGGCAGTAAAGCCACTAAGACACAAGGGGTTACTGGGCGTGAAAGAATCAGAAAACAGAAGCATTATTGAGGAGCGAGAACAATAAAAATGTAATCAGGAGGACAGTAGATAACGATTGATATTGCATTGAAATTTTTGAAGATCAAACGTGTCTGGAGAGCAATTAGCCGGAAAAGAGTTCCACAAGCAAGTAGTGTGATTTCTTTAACGTCATATCACATTAATTCGTCATTTAGTGCTGAAATCTAAATTTCTTGGGAACTTTGAAGTAATAGAAATATGTTATTCTGCTTTCGCAATTGAATACATGGTAGATGATACTCAGCTTTTGTGCATATACATGTCTCTTTGGACATCATTACCAGAGACAGTGATCTGTGTGTTTTATGTTGTAGTTTCGTTGAAGTTATATTTTGGGATACAGTTTGATTTCTTTAAGAAATTGTAGGATATTATATGGCTTAATGTCATGAAAGATTTATTTCATGTCGGATGCTTGGTTGATTTCGTTTAGCGACATGTCAATCACTATGGGCTATTTAATGCCCAAAACTAAGTAATTTGAAGACAATTTTTATAGTTTCAACTAAATATATTTTGAACGCAACTGTATGCCTTCAGCTACAGTTAATATGTATAGTTAGTCATTTACTATAAATAGTTAAAGTTGTTAATATTTTTATCTAAAAATGTATTGCTAGTATTTTTACTATAAAAATGTATTTTTATACTTTCAGAGTGTTTTGTTTTTGTTTAGGGGTTCAATATTTGCGCATAGTTGGGACCCTAACAGGTGCTACCCCCTGGGATCAGGGTAGACCTGGAAACAACAGTAGTTAAGAGGTAGTTTTATGCTCCTCAAAACCTCCAGTCTCACGATCAGAGGCCTTTCTACCGGATGTAGTTTATCGTCATTCCCAGGACTTTGTTAGCACTTGAAAAGAAATCCTTACAAAACTTCTTTTTCTGAATAATATTACAATGCTGATATATTTAGACATATCGCTTTTACCTTTTTTTTTTTTTTTTTTTTTTTTAAATTCCTGCTAAAAAGCAAAACTGGATTATAACTAGTTTAGGTTCGGCTAAGAATACGAAATTGTATTTTATTGTTATCTATTTTACTTATTTTTATTTGTTGAATTATTTCTTTAGACCGCGTTTTTTTCGGTTTTTTTTTTCGACAAAATTGATTGATTTTGCAGATACAAGAGGTTCTTGATTTAGAATCTGGCAAAAGAATAAAACGTCTTGGCATGGAATGTTGGCACCCGACAGTAAAGGAAGCAGAATTGAAAGAAGAATTTCCCATTCGGTAATAACGATTATAAGAATGTCTGTCTGACATCTTCGTGGGCTGGAGTCAATATTGACTTGCTCAAATTCAGATGTAGATGGAATTTGGTTGGTCCAAAACAACAATAACGGGAGCCTCGGTAAGGATCGAACTCCGTACACTAACGAAGGCTCTAAAGAATAATTTTCTAACCATTACTCTACAACAGTCGCCATGTCTTACTTAAGATATTTTAAAACATTACTTAGTCTGAAACATTCCAGAAATAACGAGACGAAAATTACTTTCCTAAATGATTATAAAGCAGAAAACGTTTTGATCACAAAAAGGTTAAGCGATCAGAATAAGCTTTGCAGAGATTGACTCTTCTCAAAATACTCAATCATTCATATGGTATGTGTACTTGAAGAAGCTTGTGTAATGCATAAGGATATACGTTGTGCTGTAATGGATATCGGTTTGGTAATGAGAAATTGGAGAGCCGAGTTCGAATTCCAGTCGAGTTCGTTATATTTACAAATGCCTTCTTCGCAGCTATAGGTTGAATAGCATGACAGACTGGTTTCTTTAGCCTTTGTTGGTAACCCGTCTATTGCAGAAAGAAATGGCAAAATACTGTGGGAGATATCTTCTGCCTAGTCAGTGATATATCGAAAAAGACATGGTCGTCCAAGCGAGTATAACGTATGGCACTTAACTAACTGAATGCATCTGTTGAGAGGCTGAAGTAGTTTGATTTGGTTTATTTTGTTTTACGGCATATCAAACTTCAATGGGTTATTTAATGCCGACAACATTTTTTAGGATAGATTCATATGAATAGAATATGTATTCTTTGGTTTAGACTGGTTTGGTTTATTTTGTTTTACGGCATATCAACCTCAATGGGTTATTTAATGCCGACAACATTTTTTAGGATAGATTCGTATGAATAGAATATGTATTCTTTGGTTTAGATTGGTTTGGTTTATTTTGTTTTACGGCATATCAACCTCAATGGGTTATTTAATGCCGACAACATTTTTAGGATAGATTCGTATGAATAGAATATGTATTCTTTGGTTTAGATTGGTTTGGTTTATTTTGTTTTACGGCATATCAACCTCAATGGGTTATCTAATGCCGACAACATTTTTAGGATAGATTCATATGAATAGAATAAGTATTCTTTGTTTTAGATTTGTCAAAAATCTGTTTCTGGTAATATTTTTCCTTCAAAATTGTATTGATCGCAATAATTTAAAAAAAAAACTATTGCTGGTAATAGTTAACTATTTACCCATAGCTGGGACCCTAACAGGTGCTAGCACCCTGGGTTAGGTTGGACCTGGGAATACCAGCAATTAAGAGGTGGTTCCACTCTCCTCAAAACCGCCTTGCTGCTGGACGTAGTTTATCATCTTACCCAGGACGCTGATGTACTTTAAAGTCTTACCCTGGACGAGGGTGTAGTAAGTATAAATGCAAGATAATCGTACGATTAATATTCAGGAATGTTTGGCGTAATATTAACCCTTTTAAAAATTATATTATGCTGGAAAGAAATATTGTTGCATTTGAAAATGTAAAATAATTTTTTTTTGGTCTTAATTGATCTATTTAATTAACATAATGCTTCCCTTCCTTTTCGATAGCATAATCCCACAGACCTGTTTGGGAAACTGTTGATCCCTTAGTTGTAAAATTATCCAAGTTTTGATACAAAGAAACACTCAATACTAATTTTATCATATTTCCCATTAATAATTTTTTTCCCTCAAAACATATTGCGATGAGCTGAAAGTTTGATCGTCAGATGGGGCAAGTTCAGAAGTGTAAGGAGAAAATTTTTTACCAAGGCAATGATCTGAAAAGATGATAGCCAGAGGGAGCATGATCAGAAGAGTAAGGAGGTTGAGGTCACATTGTTTTCCCTCTAAATTATGTTACTATGATCTGAAAAGATGACATTCAGATGGAGCAAGGTCAGGAGAGTAAGTAGTATATGGTCAAGTTGTTTCCCCTCTAAATCATGTTGCCATCATCCGAAAATATAGTCAGAGGGAGCTTGCTCAGTAGAGTAAGGAG